CCTGCCAGCCCCCGCTCCTAGGGGAGGGCAGGCTTCGAGGCCTGAGCCTCCTGCAACTTTACTCCGGGGCTGCACCCTGCTCCGAGGAGCCAGCGCTCTCACCTGCTCCTGCGCCGTCCCTCCACTTGCTGCTTCAGGTCTTGCCAGCCCTTGCCGGCATGGCTGCGGGTCTGCGAGGTCGTCGGGTGGCGGAGGACGTTTGGTCTAGCTGGCGGCTGCGACTGTGGTTTTTAAAAGGAGCCGCAGGGCGGGCCCGCCCGCATCGGGAGGGGTGGGGCGGGGCGGGGCAGGGCGGTTCCCTGCGCCCGGGCGGGAGGAGTGACCCGGCCCCTCCAGGCTCCGCCGCCCGGGAGCGCAGCCTGGCCCCCACCAGGGTGGTGAGAGGAGCAGGAACTGCAGGGGCCCGGGGCCAAGGGACGGGGCCTGCCTTCTCCCTCACCCGCCCAGGGGCTCCCTCCACCCGTGCGCGGGGCCAGCGCCGGGTCAGGAGCTCAAGAAATTAACAGCAGCAGCTGCTTTTGCTGGCATTTACCTCGTGCCGTCGCGTCGGGCCGCTTTCTAACCTTTACAGCCTCGTGAAATGGGTGTTGCCAGTTTATGGGAAGAAGCGGCGGCGCTGAGAGGCGGGGAGAGTCACCGCCCCGCGCCCCCGGGGACGGCAGCGCGTGGGGAGGGGCCAGGATCCCCGGGACTGCACATCGGCGCTCGAGGCACATCCTCCCCGCACTGAAGGGCGAAGGGCGAAGGGCGAAGGGCGGGCCCCCACCCCACACCCCACCCCACACCCCACGCCGCCTCGCCCACTAGGAGCCTAGAGGCCACCGCTGCCCACCCAGAGTCTCTGCGGGCCCCCGACCCTCTCCAGGCCCGTCAGCTCCCCGGTGGGCGTCTCCCCATCTTGAAGCGCCGGGAGGCCCCACCTACCCAGGTTCCCCGAGAGCCCACGCCCTCCCTGTCATGGGGCGGGGCAGGAAGGGGGGCGGGGAGGGTCAGTCCCGGGTGTGAGGTATGGAAGCCACACACACACTCCGCGGAAGGGGTGATGGAGAAGAGGGCAACCCCGGCAAGAGGAAGGGGCCTGCGCCGAGCCGGGTGGGGGCCGTGAGCCCGGCCGGGCGCACAGGCTCTGCGGAGCCGTCGGAGGCGGACTGGGGGACTGGCACCATCCTGGTCGCGGCCGGGCCGCCAGCCCCCGGAGCGCCCCCGAAGCGCCAGGCCCGTGAGCCCTACGTCCAGGCAGCTCGCGGGGCTGCTGAGGCCACGGCCCAGGCCTGAGCAGAGGGCAGCGGCCTCGGAGTGGCCGGAAGCAGCAGCCCCGGTGCAGCCGTCTCCGTGCAGCCACCCCAGGGCAGGTCCCTCCTCTCGCTCATGAGGGCACCGTGTGGCAGTGAGGACGAAATAGGCTGACGGTGCCCCAGACTCAGCCAGGGCCCCTCAGCAGGCGGCAGGGCCACCCCCCCACCACCCCCCGCGCCCCCGCGGGGAGGGGTCTTTTCCCCCAGTAAAAGCGGTTCCCCCCCCAAGAAGCCGTGGGGTCCCAGCCCGGCTCCCACGGCCCTCCGCCAGGAGGAGCCCTGGGGATGTTCTGGAGCCTGAAATCGCACCCTCCTCTGCCTCCGGAGAACCCGTGGGGGAGCACGTGGTGAGCGCTGTCCCCGAGGCCGGGTCTAAGCTCCCCTCTCCCAGTCACCTGAGTGGACTAGCTCCTCACTTGCTCCTACAGCCCAACAAGCACCGCGCACCGGCCCACCCGGGCCCTGCTGCCTCCTCCTGGCCTGCGCAGACCTGCTGAGTGCACGTGTCTGGGCCGGCCTGGGAGCCTTCTAGACCCTTCCCTCCGCCCATGGCGGACTAGCAGGCCCCTGCTCCCTTCTGCCTCCTCAGCAGGGGGTGTCCATGCCCAGCAGGCTGCGTTAGCACCCAGCTCAGCTCTGCTTGCTGGGTTTCCAGCCCCCAGGGGTGCCCTGTCCCCTGCTCCCCACCAGGGAGGCAGGATGGGAAGGTGGTGTGGACTCATCTCTGACGCCAGCACCAGGGCTGGAGGCCTGGGGCAAGTCACTTGCATGCTCTGAGCCCAAACTGTCTGGGTGTCAAAAGGGAGGGAATCCCTAGTCTCTGCTCAGCCACCTCTGAGCAAGCCTCCAGGGTGTGATGCCCACAGCACTCCCAGTAGGACAGCAACCAGCCTGTGCTGGGAGCGGGGGCATCTCCACAAGCTCACTGGGGCCCACGCCGTCCGGTGGCCGCAGCAGAGCTTGGGAGTCGTTAGAGAAAACCACAGACCCCAAATGGTGTCACTTGTGCTGAAAGTCCATGACACCAAACCTGGATTTAACACCTGATCTAACTGCAGTTTCAACCTCTCCCAGAAACATAATGGTAATCAATCTGGAATGAATCGCCTAATAAAGTCAATTAGCTATTGCTTGAATTTTGTTTTTTTTAGTTAACAGAGTGGTTCTGGAGGGAGGCCACCTGGGCTGCGCTCAGCCCCATGCTTCCTAGCTGTGTGCCCTTGGGCAGGTTATTCAACCTCTCTGTTCTTCAGTTCATTCTCGGTGAAACTGGGACCAGACCAGTTGCTTGTTCTGAGGACTGAGTGAGGTAAAGCTCTCAGGACTCTACGGCTTTCTCTCCAGGGGCTCATGCCTGTGCATCTCTGCTGCTGGGTTTCCTAACGATCCTGGATTCGCTCCTTTCCCCGGGAGGTGGGCGCTGGTGCTGGGGGGGCTGCTGGAGAGCCTGGCGGGCGGTGTCCTCTGTGAGGAGGAGGATGAAGACTCCTGGCTAAGGGTTTAGGCTGCACATTTTGAAAGTTACCACCTACTCCAGGCAGGGGTGTTAGGAGTCCCTTTCTCCAAAGGACACTGGAGCCCAACACTGGCAGGATGGCCCGGAGCCGTCCCCGAGGCTGAGCTAAAGCTCACGCCTGGGGGTCTGTCCCGGGAGCCCAAAGCAGGGCCACCTCCTCCAGGTAAAGGCCATGATGGATGGGTTGGGGTCAGAGGAATTCCCTAAAGGCAGTACCTGCCGTCAGCAGGTTCCCGAAATGCCCAGGGTGTCCCTGTAAGGCACCTGGTCCCAGGTCAGCAGGTTGGCCTGGCTTCCTTCCCCAGGGGGCCTGGGGGCTTCTTCATGAAGGAGGCAGCATACGGAGGCAGCATGGGCAAGTAGGGCCAGGTGTGGGGACTTGAGTTTTATTTGAAATCATTAAAAAGAAGAATTCACAGCAGCATCTGTGGGGGAAGGACCAGAGGCTGGGAGGATGAGGGAGAGATGAAGGTGGTGTAGCTTGGGAAGACGGGCCTGGGGTGCCAGGAAGCAAGGGCCATCCCAAGGTCACGCTCCAGGACTGACTAGCATGCAGTGGCCGGAGAGGATGGGCTCCACGCAGAGGGGGTTGCTCTCGGCCTCTGCAGCGGACTTGTAGCCCTCTAGTCTCCCCAACTCTTGGCCTAGGAGAGAGAGAGTGACCTTCACAAAGCCCTGAGGGGCAGGGACAGGAGTCATCTCTACCCCTCTGCCCTGAGGGCTCTGATACCCCAGGGGGGAAGCAGTGAGCCTGTGAGGGATGGGGGTCCCTGCTCAGTGTCTCTTGTTTTTTTTTTTTTTTTTTTATCTTTTATTTTTCTTTTTTTTTTTTTTTTTTTGTTTGTCTTATTCTCTTTGTTGCTTTTTTTTTTTTTTTTTTTTTTTTTTTT